TTTTTTTTCTTGTGGACACCATCTCACAATATTTTTGCACTTTTGTTTATGGTTTGATGTCAGTCATTTTAAGATATGAATATGTTATGTTTTCCACACATTTCAGTTTTGGACACTTTCGCACACTTTTTTATTACAAGTTTTTTATATTTGTTTTTTAGCACTTTTGCATCATTAGAGATATTTTTTGGGTAGCGTGCTATATAGTGTCTTGGTTGTTTGCCATGGTTGGGTTTAATACATTTCTCTCCATTGGTTTTATGTTTGGTTCACAAATTGTTTCACAAATTTACTGATTTATTTTTTTTTTTTATTTTTTATTTTTTTAACATTTTCCCACACCTTTTTGTTATTAATATGTTTTTGATATTTTTGTTGATGTTAATAAGTCCAAGATAAATTGATTATTATATGTTATGTTTTTGAATAGTTTTCCACACATTGTAGTTTTGGACACTTTCCCACACTTTTTTATTGTAAGTTTTTATAATTGTTTTTCAGCACTTTTGTAATATAAATTTTTGGGAAGAGCGCTGTCTTGATTTTCTTTGCTTTGGTTGTTTTCCCTGTTTGGGTTGATAGCGGCTCTCCTTTAACATATTCCTTATTTTATAAATTTTTTTTTTTTTTAGTTCCAGAGGCGCTGTTCCTATCTGTTTTTCATTTTACCTGTAACATCGTTCAGCATGACCATTTTGGTGGTGAGTCAGTGATTGTCTGGGGAGGCATATCCATGGAGGGACACTCAGACCTCTACATGCTAGACAATGGCACCCTGACTGTCATTAGGTATCGGATGAAATCCTTGGACCCATTGTCAGACCCTACACTGGTGCAGTGGGTCCTGGGTTCCTCCTGGTGCACAACAATGCCCAGCCTCATGTGGCTAGAGTATGCAGGCAGTTCCTGGAGGGTGAAGGAATTGATACCATTGAATGGCCCCCACGCTCGCCTGACAAATAAATGTAACCACTTTAGTCCAGTGCCATTTTAAAACATCGCTGGAACAGTGCTGCAAACATGTGCTTTTTAAACAGATGTTCATGTTTGTGTGTATACACTTGTTAAGCCTACTGTCGTCTTTCGCGTGGAAGTGATACGATTGGCTGTAAAAGCTGCTCGATCACTTCCACAACCTCCACAATGTGCTGCAAAACCCTTGCCCTGTATACTAGGCTCCGCTGTCCCACCTGTGGGCCTGATGTAGTCATGGCGGGTGTCACTGGCATAGGCAGCTGCAACTTTACCAATAGATGTGAATCAACCTGTCCCCCCTTCTCCAGCCTGCCACCCTCCTTCATGAATGGGCAGGAAATGAAATGACATCGCTTTCTAGTCCAGTAAACAAGGGCGCACTCTTATCATGCATTACCGTGGTACACCACGTGTTTATTGTGTAAACAAATAGATTTATACTCACAAACCAAAGGAAAATAAAAAGCTAAATATGTTGTCCACAATGGCAGTCAATACAATGCTGTACCCTAATTAGGGATAAGCTGACGCGTTTCGGGAGACGAAACCCCTTCTTCAGAGCTAAAATGTATGCCTGCTGGTCCCATGCTTATATACCAAAGAATGCCAAAGTGGCAGGCACACACTTTAGTTCTGAAGAAGGGGGTTCGTCTCCCGAAACACGTCAGTTTATCCCTATATAGGGTATAGCATTGTATTGACTGCCATTGCAGACTACATATTCTGCTTTTTATTTTCCTTTGGTTTGTGAGTATACATCTATTTGTTTACACAATAAACATGTGGTGTACCACGGTAACGCACGATGAGAGTGCGCCCTTGTTTGCTTTTGTTTATCAGTATCCAGATTTCCCGATCTTTGAAGGGCTGCACCTCCTCAGTTGGCATTCTGAATTCCTTCTAGTCTGCATGAAGGTTTGAGCGCTGGTTTCGTTTGTCTCTGGGATTGGTGCCTGTGGTAGCAGCTGATGGAACACAATCTGTGTTCCATCAGCTGCACTGGAGGTCATGGGAGACATCCAGGATCTAATAGCCCTCGGATGTCTCATAAAGAGAACCTGTCACTTATGTGCTATCACACTAACCCCCTATATGATGGCAATAAAGTCAATAAAAAAAAAAATGTTAAAACCAAGCAGTGGGACCTAAGCCCCCACTGCAAGTTTTTTAAAGCAGAACTCCAGGCAAAAATGTTATTTCACCATGCAGTGGGACTAAGCCCCCACTGCATGGGTCAACTGCTTGTTTTTTCTAGGGGTGAGCACAAGGTTCATACTTTGTTGACCCACCGATCCTTCAGAAAAAAACCGCTGTCCTGCAGGGTCCAACAGTGGACTGTTCCTGTCCATGGAGCGTGCTCATTTACTAGACCACTGGGGGAGCAGGAGACAAAAAGGCCAGTCTTGTACGGGGAGATTTGGTGGGCAAGGTAAGTATATCTCTGCTGTCCTCTTTCTCCCCCCCCCCCCCCCCCCCCCCCCCCCCAAACCCCCAGCCCCCAGAACAAAATGAGCAGATAACCTGCTGTAGGTAGAAGCCAGTTAACTTACAAATTTGCTTTTAGAGGTAACAAACTCCAGCCAGATTGGGACCTGGTGGGAAGTGGTTCCAGGAAGTGTTTCAAGAGAACATGTCTAATTGCTGCACTGTGATGTTGGGCTTCTTACCCAGGAAGCCTGGGTGTTCCTTTTATGTTGTATAGTATCATGGGAGCCATAGCTCACTGCCATTTGAAATCTTCACCTTTTTTGTCCTTGTGCAGTAATCCTAGGACTGAAAACTTCAGTATGCAGGATCCTTTACTAGAGCTGACTGTATGAGTAATGGTTGGGCATTGTTTTAAAAACCTGTTATTAAAGGATTATGACAGTTTTAATATGGAAATCCATCTTGGGAGCTCTGTTGCCTATAATTTTTTTTTTTTATAAAGTATGTGAAAGATTGTTTTATATGTCTTTTAGATTGCATATAAAATGTGCCAGGTGTTCCCACATAGCTTGATTTGAGGTATGAAGCAGGGAGACTACAGTGTGACAATAAAAGGGCTGCAATTATCTTGCCCTGGCAAGCAGCCAGTCTCCTATTGCAGCTATTAGTAAATGTGGCTCCAAGAAACTGGTGGGGCCATTTGCGAAGGGTATAATTAGCAAATCAGAAGCTTCAGTCTATGTCATGCATAGTTCTGGCTCGGCTGAAAATAAAACAGAACAAATAAAATAGGAAGCAAGGGATTACATAGAGACATGCAATAGCTGCTACGGATTCAGGATAAAGAAGTCAAATTGAACTAGGCTGAATGAATTGCCTTTTTTTTTTTTTTTTCCTTTTTATGTAATTTTTGTATTTATTTTTCTTCACTTTTTCCGTCCGGGGGCAGAGGGGGGAAGCGTTAAAATAGCGTGCAGGGCATCCAAAGACAATTATTTAAATATGCCCTTTGGAACATGGATTGCACAGAGGAAAACCTAATTTCCTTTTTGCTGTTTTGAAAGAAATTCTTTTTTTCCTGTTTGAATTTTTCCTTTTGAAAAACATTTAGCATTGAGTTAACAAGGTTCATGCATGACCATTAAAGTAAATGTCTTTTTACCTTAGTGCATTAAGAGGTAAAAAAAAAACACTCCCACTACCTATCTTAGACTCACCGTCCCTAAACACTTGGCTCCATATTAATGTTTCAGCGCCATCTCCTTCTCCAGCACCATTCCTTCACTTCCTGCTTTCACAGGAGAAAACTGAGGGCAGTTAAGCCATAGGCTCCTGCTGCCATCAGTCAACCTCTTGTGAGGGTGGGGAGACTTCAATCTTTTTATGTATTTTTTTTTTTTCTACTTTCATGTATATTTGTATTTTTTTTTTTAACTTGTGATTTTATTGATATCACATAGGGGACCAAAAGTCCCCTATGTGATGGCATATAAGTGACAGGTCCCCTTTGTAGGGGGGAGGGGGGGGGTCAGTGTGTGCAAGGAGGGGCAGGAGAGGAACAGTGTATACACTGAGGTAGCAGTGTATACAGAGAGGCTCCCTCACTGGCTGCCACTATATGTCAGTACTGGTTTTTAAATGCAATTGCCGGCTTTTTTTTTTTTTCTTCACCATAGCTCAGAGAATGAGCTGTCACTTTCCCTGGAGCTAAAGGAAACTTTTTCTTTTAGCTGGGGAAAGAAACTTTGTTTCTTTTAGCTTGGGGAAAGTGACCGCTGATTCTCTGAGGTATAGTGAAGAAAAGAAAAACCCTGGCAATTGCATTTAAAAACCAGCACTGACATACTGTATAGTGACAGCCAGTCACTGTATACACTGCTCCTCTCCTGCCTTTCTCCAGTTTAGAAATCCTTCTGTAACCAATGCCATCAGTATGTTTTGCAACAATAAGGTTGCGAAGGTCTTGAGAGAGCTTTTACCCCTCATGAGATGTTTCTTGTGTGACTCCTTGGTAAAGACACACCTTTTTATAGGCCATCAGTGGAGACTGAACCAGCTGATATTAATTTGAACTGACAAGGGGCTGGATTCCTTTCTAATTACGGATAGATTTCAGCTGGTATCATGGCTTTCCATGCCTTTTTGCACCTCCCTTTCTTCATGTGTTCAATACTCTTTCCCTGTGCCGTTCCATTTTATTACACATAACTTAATTTCTGAACTTCTTTGTTTTGGTTTATTTGTATGTATGGATTGCATGGGTTGTTACCGATATGTGGTGAAAATTTCATGCCAATAGCATGTTTAGAAATGCACTATATTGCCAAAAGTATTGGAACACCCCTTCAAATCATTGGGATTCAGGTGTTCCAATCATCTCTATGGCCACAGGTGTATAAAATGAAGCCCCTAGGCATACAGACTGCTTCTACAAACATTTGTGAAAGAATAGGTCACTCTCAGGAGCTCAGTGAAGTGGTAGGCCCACGTAAAATGACAGAGCGGGGTCAGCGCATGCTGAATCGCACAGGTGCAGAAGTTGCCAACTGTCTGCAGAGTCAATAGTTAAAGGCCTCCAAACTTCATGTGGCCTTCAGATTAGCCCAACAACAGTGTGAAGAGAGCTTCATGGAATGGGTTTCCATGGCCGAGCAGCTGCATCCAAGCCTTACATCACCAAGTGCAATGCAAAGCTTCGGATGCAGTGGTGTAAAGCACGCCGCCACTGGACTCTAGAGCAGTGGAGACGTGTTCTATGGAGTGACGAATCACGCTTCTCTGTCTGTCAATCCGATGGATGTGTCTGTGTTTGGCATTTGCCAGGAGAACGGTACTTGCCTGACTGCATTGTGACAACTGTAAAGTTTCGCATAGGGGAATTATGGTGTGGGGTTGTTTTTCAGGGGTTGGGCTTGGCCACTTAGTTCCAGTGAAGGGAACTCTTAAGGCATCAGCATACCAAGACATTTTGGACAATTTCATGCTCCCAACTTTGTGGGAATAGTTTGGGGATGGCTCCTTCCTGTTCCAACATGACTGCACACTAGTGCACAAAGCAAGGTTTATAAAGTGTCCATTGAGTCCCAACCTCAACCCAATAGAACACCTTTGGGATGAATTAGAGCTGAGACTGTAAGCCAGGCATTCTCGTCCGACATCAGTGCTTGACCTCACAAATGTGCTTCTGGAAGAATGGTCAAACATTCCCATAGACACCCTCCTAAACTTTGTGGACAGCCTTCCCAGAAGAGTTGAAGCTGTTAGAGCTGCAAAGGGTGGGCCAACTCAATATTGAACCCTACAGACTAAGACTGGGATGCCATTATAATTCATGTGCATGTAAAGGCAGGCGTCCCAATACTTTTGGCAATATAGTGTATATTTACTGAGAAAAATGGTGACGTGTTCAATACTTATTTTACCGCTGTATATGCTATAAGTTTGCTTTAGTTTTTACACTAGCTTCACCACAATCTCTGCGTTCTGTGTGCATTTCCATGTGTCTGCTTTCATCCAATTGTGATGCATATGTAATGTGTTCCAGTGAATTATTTTCCTTTTTTTCACTTGAAGAGTTTCTATGTAATAAAGAACATCTTGAAATTTTATTTGTGTCTATGCAGTCCCCTAAAAAATGTGAATTTTGTCCTCCTAAAAAAAAAATGGCTGTGCTTGTCTTGACAAGGTCAGATTGGTCAAGCTGAGGACTTTGAAGCACCAATTATTTTTATTGCATATTCTGTGTAGGAAAGAAAGGAGAAGGAGGAAAAATTTCTGAAGGAAAAGCAGGAGAAAGAAGTGCAAGAGCAACGGAAAAGTTCTGTAACAGAGAGAAGTAAAGAGAAGTATCAAAAATGGTTGCATAAAAAGAAAGAAGAGGAACAGGAAAGAAAGCGAAAAGAAAAAGTATGTATTCAAACCCATTAAAGGCTAATTTCATCCTCCTCTCTCCACGTGTGTGTGTGTGTGTGTGTGTGTGTGTGTGTGTATATTATATGTGTGTGTGTGTGTATATATATATATATATATATATATATATATATATGTGTGTGTGTGTGTGTGTGTGTATATATATATATATATATATATATATATATATATATTGTGTGTGTGTATATATTATATGTATATTTATGTGTGTGTGTGTGTGTGGATGTATGTATATATATGTGTGTGTGTGTGTGTGTGTGTGTGTATGTATATATATTATTATAATATATATATATATATATATATATATATATATATATATATATATAATATGTGTGTGTGTGTACTGTATGTGTGTAATATATATAAAAAATATATATATATATATGTGTGCATGTATGTATATATGTGTGTGTGTGTGTGTGTGTGTATGTATATATTGTGTATATACAAAAAAAAAAAATATATTTTATACATTTTTTACATTTATCTCAGTCTGTGAAAGCCTGTTTTCACAGACCTCAATACCTCAAGCTGAATACTTCTCATATCATGTCATTAGATATATTTAATTTCAAGTTTAATTTCAATATTTTAAAATAACGTGCAGTGATCCTGTCATGAGGTCCTTGCTCAGGCCCTTCCTATTATAGAGTGACAATTCCCTGTCCCTGTCTCCTAGTTGTGATCCTGCATTTTCACCCAGCCACATGCCCTTCTATATAATTGCAAATGTCTATTTCAACACACATTATCTAAGCATAGTCCACCGTTTGTCACTATCATTAAATCTGTTCTGAGAAAATGCCATGCAGCCATAACTGGTGTGCATGCGTGTAGACAAGAAGTGTCTGCAAAGAGGCTGCAGGAGATCAGCAGCATTGAGATGCAGCAATACCTTACAAGATAATGCCTGCTGATCCAGCCGTAGATCAGTACAATATATATATTCTGAAGGGGTTAAAGAACCCAAGGTACTTAAAAAAATTTTTTCTTTGCCTACATACCCCGAAAGCTTGTCCTCAAAATTGTATGTTAGTGCAAATAAAAAAAAGTATCACGGACAGTACTCAATTGTTTCTTTGCCTAAATAAAACCCATTTAGATGGTACTTCTTGGTAAACTTTTAACCGCTATTCTTTTTGAAATTGCTGTCATTTATTTTTTCATGCTCTACGTTTTCTTATTTTTTTTCCATGCACCTGAATTTTTTTTTTTCTATTTTAAGCTATATTTAGTATTTTTCTAAATAGATTCGCTAACAGTGGTTAGAGCTGAAAATAGTTTCTTGCTAAGCAGGTAGAGCTGTTCCATGAATGAAAGCCCTTGAGCACTAATTAAAATGTAATTTTCTTCTGTGGTGACTGAACGAACCCTTCCGGAAGACCCATACTATTTACACTTTAACCATTTTGTGGGCAAAGCACATTCTTGAAGCCCTGAATTACAATCCCTCCTGGAAAAGTAGAGGATATTAATAAGTTCCATAAATACATTTATGGAACATTTGTAAGATCACAAATAACAAACCTTGCTGAGGTAAAGAGCCCAGGGGAGACTGTAGAGCAGCCTATATTTTTTTTAATGAACTGTGCCGTGATCGGACACAGGCCTGTCCTTGCAGTTTGCAGAGCACACTGCTTCCCACATTAAGAGGCCATTACAGATATTACATGGCACGTTCAATGGGCATTTTGCATTGCAGATGAAAGAGATGTAGAACCTCTCTGCATACCTTCTTTTTTTTTTTCTGAAGGAGGCGTCTAGCGTTCTGGTACCTGCTTCACAGCCTTTATGAAAAGGTGAATGAGGGCAGAGGTAATGAGGAGGTAATTGGGGTCTTATGTCTTTTTTTTTTTTTTTTTGCAGGAAGAAGCTGAGATACGTCTAACTGAACAGAGAGCTAAGAAAGAGAAGGCAGAGCAGATATTCAATGAATGGCTGGAACAGGCTAAAAACAAGCCACGGCCAACTTTAAACAGCTATGGCTATGTCAATGGGAAATTAACAGGTATGTTACTTGGGGAAATTGAAACCCAACTCTTGCCCCCTTCCAGCGCAGCTGAGCTGCAAGGGTTAAATACTTATTTTAGTGGTTGTAAACAGTGAGGTAACTGGCCTCAGGGGATACACAGAAACAAATCCTCTTGCATAAGTTGCACCTATTTATCTGGAGTCTCTATGTCTGTTCAAAGTGCAGAATTTATAAAGCTTGTGTGAGCTTTCACAAAACTGGGCAGGTAGCTGTAGTTACACACTTCAAAGTTCAGTGAGGATAGATTAAATGTATAAGGAGTGGGAAATAGAGAAAAAATTATTGTCCATTCCCTTTTGAATACGGTTTTACTGGTACCACACTCATAATGGAAAAATATATTGAATAGAACTCTTACCAAGAAAAACTAGTGGGGCTTTAAAGGTACCAAACCACATAAATAAACATAAATTGTACAAAAATGTAATAACAGTTCATAAAATGAACACCTTTTATTAGGTTAAAAAAGAACCACCAACAGGTGGAGTATGATCATCAAACATATATATGAAAAGTCAGAAATTACAATAGATGAGACCTGGCAACAGTAATTGTTACTGATGTCCTAGATGCAAAAAAGGTGTCACGGCATCAGCTATATAGAACCGACAGCTATAGCCTCAAGACATCAAGGTTGGGCTGTGGAGAATGATAGACATAATGGTACATGGCTAACAACTTGGAAACATGAAGTGGTACTTGGTTGGTATAGAATACCTAAACAGATAGTATCATAGATGTTAGTAAAGAAATGGTTTCCACTTTGGATCATGAATAGGCACTTAATTTCAAAATTTCAATACGTTTCATAATGCCCGCTTCTTCATGAAAACAAAACACAAATTCCTACAGGAAGCAAAGACAGAACTGAAGACATATAAATCAATATATAATCATACAAAATTATACAAAAACCAAAAATGAATAAAAGGTTTAACAGCAAATTACCAGTTGATGATACCAGCACATTCCCATATAGCTCCTGGGAATGACCAACGGTGTCATTGGCAGCTTATCTGAAAGACCGTAATTGCTCATTGCTAAAGGAACCCTTAGAAACTTCTGGAGGAACCCTTGGGTTCTGTGGAACCCTGCTATAGAGGGATATGGTTTGTTCATATTTCACGTCTGAGGTTTACAACCACTTTAATTCTAAGGAGTAGAGTAAGAGGATGCATTACTCACCTGATTGCCCCTCTGGCCAGAGTTGTCCCCTTATCCACGAAGCTTCAATCTGTGGGCAGCCTCTTGGCATTCACACATACAATGTAGGGCTATGAGCCATGTACTGTATGTAGTGGGGATAAACGTGATGGCGGCCAGGAGCAACTTAGAGAGGAGGTTGCAGACCAAGTTGCACCGCTGGGGGAAGCCTACTGGAGTGGAAATCAGGGGTTATAGGAAGAGACTGCATTACTTGTCTGGCTCCCTGCTCTAGAGCTCTACTCTTGCTTTGATCTGTGGGTGGTCCTTTGCCATATCACATAAAACTTTGGGCTTTTAACCCTGTATTGTACGTGGTGGGGCTAAGGATGTAGCGGCTGCTGAGAGGAGGTTGTGGGGGACCAGTTGCACTGCTGGAAGAAGCCTGCTGGAGTGTGGAAATCACTGGTTACAGAAAGAGGCTGCATTACTAACCTGACTCCATTTTCTCGCGCTGTCATCTTTTTCCTGAAGCTCTTGTCTGTGGGTGGGGTGGTCCCTCAGCATTATCACATACAATGTAGGGCAGGATTAGGCAACCCTAAAGAGGTGGAGATCTACCTGAACAACATGGAAGAAGTCAAGGATCACCGGGCACAGTGCCGCCTCCTCACCCCTGTCGTACAACCACATCACAATCACGTGTATTGCATGGCAACATATCGCCATTTCACCACCTGTCAAACACACTCAAATCACTTTTCAGAGGAGCAG